TACATCGATCACTAATTGTTTATACAAAAAGAAAAACCAAAAAAATGCAAGCCCAGGTACAAAGTGTCGTGGAACGTTTTCATTCTGAGTGTGTCTCCCTCCTAGCAGCGTTCTTTTCCTTTTCCCTTAAATTTCGAGCTTATCGGGAAAGCGTGTTCGTCGTTTTGAAACGCTCGCCGCCACGAATAAAAAGCTTCTATACCCCTCGGCAAAGAAACACGGTGTTCGATCTATAAAAGCCTTGCGCCAAGGGGTTCAACCCGAAAAAAGTACAATGCCGCCCATATGTTTGCGAGCTCTCTCTCTCTCTCTCTCTCTCTCTTACTTTCTGTTCTGTTACGTTTTCACGCGCCAAATCATTTCTCTTGCGACTCTTTTTCCTTCGACATCGACAAACCGTTACGGGCTTCGATATCCGCTCTTATCGACGAATCGATAGGGAACCCGAAGTGCTTATAAAGCTATACTTTTTTTGCTCGACGAGCGATTGTTCACGAAAGTTTTCGTTTTGTTGTTCGTTTGGCCAGCGATGTTTTCCTTTATTTGAAATTAATTTCACACGAATGATGATGTATTAATGTTCATGTTTCAGTTTATCATTTTTCAGTCCATGTTATTCGCATTTAAAAAAGAAAGGTTTAATGCCAACTAAAATCACCATTTAAGTTTAATTAATTATCTTCCTAGTGATAAGATAATTAAATGAGATAGAGAGAGAGAGAGAGAGAGAGAGAGAGAGAGAGAGAAAGAGAGAAAGAGACGCTTACATATGCTGGCAGAGAACGAATGAAAGCTCGGAAAACTATCAAATTTAATACCAAAGCTCTCACCGATGGAAATATCGATCAGCATTAACATAGTCGATTACGGAGTATATAAAAACCATAAATTCACAAGTGCTGCCCTCGAGAAATCTCTCTTTCACTCCTTGAGTGGCGCTCGTGAGATTTACTCAGCACGCTCGCGCGCAAAGTATAGTGATATGGTTTACAGCTGCGGTCACCGCAAAAGTACACTCTCTTTCAACTTGCAATGTTCTCGAGAAGCTGACTTATGTATTACGCATACCGCCAACTTTTTTAAGATATAGCGTGTTGATTATTTTTAATAAAATTTACAAGCCTATATTATTATATAGGCTTGTAAATATATATTACTGAAGTTGCAATGAGTTTTCCGTAATATTTCATCATTATTTTCTTGTTCATAACTGGAAATAAATTACAAAGATGAGTTAGAAGTAGAGCACATCACTTCTTGTCAGGAAAGCGATAAAAAAAAGACTTAGTTCCTTCTAAAAAACGAACAATGCAACAGAAGAAGAAAATTTGGCATCATTCGTCATCAAGTAAACATTTCCATTGTCGACTGAATAAAAAATAGCCAACACAGACGCCCGATTCATACAACTATACAGCTTTGATCGGTCACTTAATTAATCCGATGGTTTAGATTAGATAGCGCGAGGCCAGTTTGTAATCAAAGCCGACGCATATACAATGTTCATGCGGCCTGTCTGTCAGCCGCGAGAACACAATGAGCCGAGACACGCGGTATACGTATGTATAGCAGTTTCGCTTCCGCCCGAGCAATGCTCTGCTGATGGTCTATGTACGTACAGTCTGCTCTGTGCGTTAGTTACCCGCTGGCTTTAATTGCGTATTTCGCACCGCTGATACTGCCGCAGTTTATGCCCAATCTCTCTCTCTCTCTCTCTCTCTCTCTCTCTCTCTCTCTCTCTCTCTTGCTGATGTGTCGATTTATGAATAATTAAAGCTTGTTGCTGACGCCGCGATGCATCGTTGACGAAGCAAATCCACTGAAGAATCAACGATCAAAATTTTAGTCCGTTTGCGCGGGTGAATAATTGCAGAACGTTGTTTCGAAAACAGTATGAACATTTATTTATTCGACAAATACCGACACTTCCAACATACCGTTGTTTGACTCAGCAGAGAACATCAATGACTCTACAGACAACATCTTTTAAACTGTCAATATAACATGAATCATATTCTATTTACGGAAAGTATTATTGTAATAATAATTATGAATTGGAAACTTATTTCGATTCTCTTAGCAAAGTTTCTGATGAGGTTAATGAATCTAGCAAAAAATCAACAGTGAAAATACTGTTTGATCAAATAATTAGCCGTTGGGGACGGAATTCCCCGATTTCAGACATGGTTTCATATAAACATCAGCAGCGATGAACCTAAATTATTCTGGATTCTGTTTACCATAGATTGGTCAAACCGCATAGCTCAGAGCACGCACCCGATATGCAATTTCACGAACAGCTGATTGAACATACAGAAAAACATTGCACATATTATTACGTTTTTCTTATTGAGCTATGCAGTTGTCATATTTATTATTTTGTCTCAACAATTTTTTTTTATCTGAATCAATACTGATCGAGATCACAAGTGAATGTTCGCGAGAGTTCACCGCAAGCGCAATTGTTCTTAATTAGCTGCATAACGTCGGATGCTTTAATTGAATTAATTAACAGATGTTCTTCGATCGCTACAAATGCGGTCACCAGTGGGACAAGGCGCGCACATACCTCGAGCTATCACGCTATGACTGTCGTCATCACTAATGAACATTTGAATTCCTAGTGGTTTTGTTGATCAATAAAAAAAAAGGTAAAAATTTCCGATTTAGCGCGATAACTTTGAAAAATCTTGACATTCTAAAGAGATCGATTGTAATCATCGAGCAGCACAATGTGCACTTTAATAAATTGCTACGTGGCAAGAAATACGAACTACCTTCCGATTACATGTATTTTGAAAACAACGATAAAAAAGATCAGCATGTCGCAAAATGGAAATGCGAAGACAAAAATTAGATTACCAACCGTCAACGTGCACGTGAATCATCTGGTATATTCGTATATGTATAGCGAACGGCTTTTACACGTGTTGCTAACAAATATTAACGATCGTCGGAACGACAGAGACTAAAGAAAAATTCGCTCGAGGACTATCCGATCGTTATCATTCAGGAAGCTAAAAGGTGAAAGGAGTTTTAAAAAAATCCGTCGAGGCATATTTCACCGCCAAGGGCCCGCAGAATAATTTATTTACCGCGTGGTTGGCGCGCAAAGAGTGTGAGAGAAGCCTACTTATAAAGGCCGTCCTTATCGGAGAGAAAGAGAGAAAGAGAGAGCACAGGTGCTACAAAAGTAACCAGCTGCCGTCGACTCCGATCACCAGTTGGCTCTTTCTCGATTCCTGAAAATGCCGCGATGCCGATAACCGTACACCTTGACTTTTGTACGAAAAATCCTTTATCGCGTGATTTACATGCATTATACATGCATAATACTTGTAAACAATTCGAGCATTATTCAACGCAGAAATATTGATAAAATGTGACAAAAGACTCGGTGATTGATCGAATTTTCTTAAAGCACATGTACTACTGGCGATTGGTCAGTTGTTGTACGCATTGCGTAAACATAATTTTAAATGAAAAATATCTCCGGTACCTGCGAAAGAAAATTATTTAAATAATTTAGCAATGCTACATCAACTCAAACAAATCGAACTTATTTTGTAAAGTCAAACTTGTACATTTCACGTACATTTAATGTAGCGCGATAAATTAAGTTATTAGATCAATGTTAATTCTAATGCATCCTATAAATCTATCAATCGAAAATAACAATGAATTAAAAAATATGGATTAAAAGCCGTTCAAGTGATAGAAGTTGATGCTGATTGACAGCAGAAAAAATAGAGTTCTGTAATTATTTTCATCATAAGGGCAACTATCGAGAAAAAATAGTTCATTGACATCCGTAATGTGCAATTGTGAACAGAGCCGCCGTACTAGGATCCGGCAACCGAGTGATACCTTCTCTACGAGGAAAAGTAAACGTCTTATCAAATGCCTAGCAGACATGCTGTTGCAGGCGAATGCTTGGACTTAGCCAGCCGTGGAGTAATAGGATCGCAACCCGGCAAAGCGCGAAGTCTGATCCGTACCGATGGCTCTCAGCTCCGTCTCTCTTATACAGTAGATAAGTTGAGCTTGCCGTGCGAAAGATCATCACTTCCGCGAGACAGAGATGCCTCCTTTTTGAAAATGCAGCGTAGCGTCGATTTAGAAAAAAATAACCTCCAGCGATTTCATCAAGTCAAGTTCCATACCGATTTCCCAGTTGAGCAAAAATTTATAAATATACAACAAAGCTAAATTCGTTATATGGCTAATACTCAAGATAACAATTGAAATGGCGTTTTATTATTGCGATATCAGTTTAAGCCTAGCAAACGACATCAAGCATATCCCTACATCAAAGTTGTTGAAAGCCTTCCAATGATGATTATTCACATTTTACAATTACGGAAATAGACTTCAACATAATTTTGTCTGATTTATGGAAATATCAGTACGGTTTTTCAATAGATCAAAACTTTACACTTTTCATAGTATCCAAATCATTTCTGCTGGAGGGGTTTCTGTTAACAGTATGTATGTTAACAGTAATTTTTGTTCATTGTAAACATTGTTCAAATTATAATATGTACAAAGTATTCTAAAATATATTAATATTCAAGTTTGATACATTTTATAATGATTCGAATATGGATGTTTTGAATGAAATCTCGTAGTGTATCGACACCGGAAGCTGTTCGAAAAAACTAAGGGTAAATATACCGGTGTTCAATCATATTTAATTGTCAAATTTAATTAATTTATAGAAAAACCATCGTCATCAAACTAGACAATAAATTGTTGTCGTCTGCCAAACAATAAAATTATCCTGATACAAATTTGTTAGAAGCCGCCCACTAATATTGTGATATGGGCTTAAAAGCCAGAAACGTAACACCTGAAACACGGAAGCACTACTATCCGTGTGTTTGTGCATGTGTGCCCAAGTCGCGGCGCTCTAATCGTTTGAAGAATAAAGAACACGCGCTAAGTATTGAGTTGTCGATTGGTAGACTCACGCACACAGATACATAGATCGCGACAGCAAAGCGACACAGTGTGGAATGAGAGCGCGTGCGCATTATAAAGCCAGTAGTCTGTCGACTGCCGTGACGAAGATACGAAGCAGTGTATCGTGTGTTTGTGTTCCTGCTCTTCTAAGACAACTGTCAAGCGTCTATAAATAAGGTGAGCACTCGTCGTTACTTTTAACTTCATGCTGCTCTCCGACTTGCCACTGAACTTGATTGCACACGTGCCGTGAAGTGCCTTACTATCGCCTGTAAATCTGGGTCAACGTTCCTTCAAGGTCGCGCTTGCGCCCTTTGCCGGCTTATTGCAATATGTCATCTCGACAAAATACGTTTGCAAGCTGCAAAATTTGCTCGCAACTGCTTGTACTATGGTTTTCCATCGGAACCAGACTTTTTTTCGCAATACTGTGCGCGCAAACTAGCACATCGATGCGGGGTGTAATCGGAGTCACCCGATTCATTAGGTACAGCGCGCCGTCCACTGGTTCCGTCTTTCCTACAGCCACGTGCGTCATCAAACTTCGTTCACATCATCGCGCAAGCATCTATGCGGATACTACTCGCATCTGCTCGACTTTGTGGATCAGCCTTAACATACACGCCGATAATGTAGATATTGCGTCAGACACCGTCTTTTCTTACACGTTCAGTTTCGATAAACATTGTTCAACTTTTGCAACAACTTGTTGCATTTTCTTCTTTTTTCCTTTCCGGTGCTGAGTGAAAGTGTTGGTATGGAGCTTTGAAAAATTCCATTCACAAATGATGCAATACCTTTTGCATCTATCACAAGATGCTTTCATAGATTTATTAATAAATTTCATGAATTTTTAATGCTGCACATATTTAAAAAAGAAATGCACCGTGTTCAAAACAACAGTTGTTAACAATTGTTATTAAAAACAAATTATTAAAAAAAAATTTATTAAATTAAAATAAAAAAAAAATTTTATGAAATTTTATTTCTATTGAAATAATAAACGAAAAATAAAATGATAAACGTTTATTGACAGGTCCGAATAAATGTCTGCAATTAAATGTTGATATGCTACATTATTTTCGATTACTTAATGATTCTGTTCGTTTTTTATTATTATCTAATTTATCTAATAACATTAATCTATAACTGCACCATATATATATGCATATACGTGTTATAGATCAATGCCGACTCATAACGAAGAGGGTTTTGCTACTAAGGCTATTCATGTAGGTCAAGATCCAGATCAATGGGGACATGGCGCAGTGGTACCTCCAATCACTTTATCAACTACTTTCAAGCAAGATGCACCAGCTCAACACAGAGTATGTTGTTTTTTCACAATTTTATAAATGTAATCCATGTGATATATTCGCGGACATTGGTTGTTGACGAATTTTTTTCGTCCTAATTTATTTTTAAAAAATTAGTTATTTTGAGCTTCATGTGTTTCATTAATTATTTAGAATACAAATATTTAAATGGTAGAATTTTTGAACCGATTTAAAAAAATAAATTCTCATTAAATTTATCAAAACTATTCTTATTATTAATGAATACCTTTCTCTTAGAATTTGTTTTAAATTTTAAGAAATAAATTCCTTGATTTTGGAAAGGTATCGTCATAATAAACTGAATAAACTGTGAGGTCTAAATAAAAGTATATTTCAGTTTCATAATGATTTTTTAAATGTTTTATTCAAATCAGTTTTGCAACAGTCTACTGCACCTTCGGAAAAAATTTTCAGTAAACATGTGGTTAGTTATTTTTATTTTGTAACGGTCTAACGTAAACAATAATTTCCGATGGCGTTGTTTTACCCTTATCGCATAAAAATTGAAACTAATTTTATAAACTTTAAGTGATTTCTTAGAAAATCGAAAGGAGTTATATGTATATTTTTTACAATTAAAAATATTGTCTAGCATTGAAATTGTCTCACTAAACATCACGAATAAAAACAATGAAAATGATCTCGTATTAGGGTTACGAATACGGAAGAAGCGGCAACCCTAGCAGGAACTGTTTGGAAGTGTGCTTGGCGGCACTAGAAAATGGCAAGTATGGCTTCGTATTTTCGTCTGGTCTCGGTACGACGACTATCGTCATGTCGCTGTTAGAATCTGGTGATCACATAATCTGTGGTGACGATACTTACGGCGGTACAAACCGCTATTTCCAACGTATCCTTCCTAAAAACAAGATTGATGTTACGTTTATTGATGCTTGCTATACTGAAAATTTCATCAATGCCATTAGGCCAAACACTAAGGTAATCCAATCAAATTTCTATGGAATCGACTTCTGCAGCAGAAGAAACTATACAAATCGATTAATATTTCCTACAGCTGGTGTGGATTGAAAGTCCAACAAATCCTTTACTCAAGTTAGCTGATATTAAGGCTATTTGCGACTTACTTAAGCACATACGGCCTGATATTTACGTTGTTGTAGACAATACATTCGTTACATGCTATTTCCAGGTAGAGCTCAATCTTTTAGAGCTAAATAAAATCTCCAATCTATTATTTAATTCAGTGTTTCCTTTTTTATTGAATGTACGTAGAAGCCCTTAGACTTAGGTGCAGACATCTCAATGTACTCATTAACGAAGTATATGAATGGTCATTCCGACGTTATCATGGGTGCTGTCATCACCAAGAGAGACGACATAGCAGAGAAATTAAGGTTCAACCAAAATGGTAAACTCTCTATTAAAATTCAATATGATTGTTTTACGATGTGACGTTTATCTTTTAAAGCGATGGGTATTATTCCTTCTCCATTCGATTGCATGTTGGTTAACCGAAGTTTGAAGACTTTAGAATTACGAATGCAACAACACATGAAGAATGGGTTAGCTGTAGCAAGGTTCCTAGAAGCTCATCCCTTAGTTACAAAAGTGATCCATCCTTGTAAGACTTTGTTTAATGGATGCTTGTTTTAATGATCTTCTAGATGTATTAAGTATATTTTATTCCAGTTCTACCGTCTCATCCACAGTATGAATTGGCAAAAAAACAAATGACAGGTTACAGTGGTATGGTTTCCTTTTATCATGGAGGGGACTCAAGCAAATTTTTTAAGGCATTGCGAATCTTTACACTGGCTGAGTCACTTGGAGGTTACGAATCGCTGGCTGAATTACCGTAAGTAAACGTTTGAAGCGCATAAATGAACAAAGATTACATTTATAAAGAACTATAGGTTATTGGAAACGATGTTAATTTTACAGCTCCGTAATGACTCATGCATCGGTACCAGACGCAGAGAGAGCAATGCTTGGAATTACCGATCAATTGATTCGATTGTCCGTTGGACTGGAAACTGAGCAGGATCTCATCGCTGACCTCGATCACGCACTAAAGGCTTCGATGCTTTGATCAGAAAAATTTATTTTTTGATACCTATCCACGAATCACTTAAACTCATACTCAAACTACTCAGTATATTTTATTTGATTGATTTGTATTCAAGCAAGAGAAAATAAAATAAATAACGGATATATATTTCTACACAACTCCCTTGAGTGTGCTTTTTTCATGGCTGTTACGATCCGACGATTAATTCTCACGCAACAATGTATCTGAAAATGTTAAGCTTTTGGAATGAACATCGCTAAATTAAGCATTAAAATTTCTGCATAAAACTCGGTGCAATAAATTCTACGTGGAAACGGCAAGAAATAAGAAAGAATCGCGGGCTTATCGCGATTGAAGAACCTTACACGGTGGTATAACACACCCGAGTTGGTGCGATATGACTAAGTGGCAAGTGAAAGAGAGAGAGGGATTGAATTAGACAAGGCTCGAAAACGTGTGTTAGCGAAGGAAGAAAATAATAATTGAAGATCGCTGCGCGCCGATAAACGCCGTTCGGCGTTGTTCGCCATCGCATAAATATGCTTGAGAGAGAGAGAGAGAGAGCAGATGTACGTCTTCCGGAAAGGTGCCGTATGCTCCTCCTCCTCCTCTTCGTTCGAGGAATATTCGACGTTTAATTTCGATAATTAGGCCGTTTATGGAAATACTGCACGCGCGATGCCCTACGGCGAAGCGATGTTGTCTAGGCTCTGCTTTATCGAGGTTACTATAATGCTATAGAAGGCAGACCTGGAAAATTTTATGCAGATAAGACGAAAAGGAGATCGAAACGGTAACATGGCTCTGCGCGGTATACCGATAACATTAACTGAAGCTTTTCAGAGTTGGATTTCCATAGACCTCGTTGAATTTTCAATCCTGAATAAAATGCGTAGCTGCTGTTTTTAATCGTACGACCTACATAGATGAAATATTGTGACAGAACGTGATTTTACGTCTCCATTGTAATTATGAAAACCTTCACTCGGTCGCATATTCCAAATGATTAAATTACAATCTCTACCATAATTACGCTCGATAAAAATTTGCATGATCTAGTATTTCTTTCTTCTTTTTTAATTCATCCTATGAATAATAAACGTTATACGAGTCTGATAATTGCACGGTAACTTTTCCAAGTGCCAATTACCCGAGAAGCCACTGCTCTAAAATGAAAATTTATAGGATTTGTAAAAAAGAGTGTGAATTATCCACAAGTAATTACAAAGTGGCGAGAGTACGGGAGATGGCTAATTAGAAACAAACGAAAGCCCTTTAAAATTGAATGCACGAAAGTTTCGTGACGTGCGCGCGCGCGACGAAGGATACAAATGAGGCAGCCAACAAATCTAGAAATAAAATTAGAGCCAAATTAAATGTCACGTCATCCGAGTCGCTTAAAATTCTGAAAATTGAACCAAATCCCCTTCCTTTCTCGCGCTCACTTTGCATCCCTCGATACAGCTGCGCTCATTAAAAATTACCGCGCTCGCAGCTCCTCTCATTGTTGGCGCATAATTAACGAGCAGACTCTCACACGTACAGACGAAAGAGAAAGAGAGATACTGACCAAAAGAGAATGATATTTTTCGTAGAAACCCTCGGTTCCGCGCTCGCGACGACGGGAGACAATAGCTTCGAATACGAGCCATTGCCGAGTAATTATCGGCTGAAACAATAAAACGCCGAGGTTCATTCATTACAAAAGGGGTATATTTCTGTTTCACGGGGTGCGAAAACTCGTGTGCGGCGTTGAATGCAAGCGGATATATACCAGACGTCACGTGCCTGATTGTTAATTTCGTTATCCGCTCTCTCTCTCTCTCTCTCTCTCTCTCTCTCTCTCTCTCTCTCTCTCTCTCTCTCTCTCTCTCTCTCTTTCTCTCTCTCTCTCTTTTCGTCGACTTATACAAACTTGCGATGTTTTCTTCTGGATTGTTAAAGACGCTTCGAAAGAGAGTTTATCTAATTAGGACTGGCGGTGGCTAAATGAACGGTAATGCGCCTCTCGTTTAACCTGTAATTAACAAGCCAACTGGAAAATGCTGTAGCCGAAGCGATTTAACGTCAAGTTTCATTAACGTTTTCATTGTTTCGTGGAGATAAAAAATGTTGAGAAATTGAATGACACTTGTTTGCAATGATGACGACGCTCTTTTGAGTTTACAATTTGCTTTCATCCGAAGCAATCTTAATTAACGCCTTTTTTAAAACATCAACTTTGGGTGCATTTTGGTCATTACTTCACAGCCTGCTTTTGCAATTTTATTTTTGTATATCACGGAATAATCTTGTGAATTGATCATATATCATTGAATCTCGAACGATCAGAAAGATGGCCGCGAAAAAAATCGCCGAGTCACATGCGTATAGGCACTGCGACAGGCGCGCGCAATCGCGCGAGTTCCTCTAATTACTAAAAGTCGCGACTCGCGCCTCATCAATTACACTAATTCACTGTTTCGTCGCGAGTCAATCACGTCAAGTTTTCGCGTCGCGCATCAATCATCTTTCTCTCTCTCTCTCTCTCTCTCTCTCTTTTGGCGAGTGATTTTACCCACCGCGTCGCGTAACTCGGAAAATTAAAGTACCCTCTGCCCCCTTCTACATTCGCCCGGGAGTAAATTAATTAAACAGCAGAGAGCGCGCAGAGAAGGAGCAGCGGAAGAAGAAGAAGCGAGTCGCGAACAAACGACGTCCTGGCTGGCATTCGGCGAGGCGAGAAGTGCGACACACGATCTGGAGAAAGGGCGCGAGCGGCGACAATAGGCCTCTCTTCCTGCGACGCTCGCGGCTGCTGCGGGGGAAAAAAAGTATATAACGAGAGGCGCCGAGCATGCCAGTCATTAGCGCGCTGCACGCCTGCCCCGGGGCTTCGTCTCTGCTCTCGATCGTTGATATTATTCGCGACTTGCAGGCAGTTTCGTTGCTCCGTCGCTTCTCTCTGCCGCGATAGACTTTAATTAGGCGCTGGCCGTCGCCGGGCCCCACGTCGCCCCGCAGCGATTCTACAATGTCGGCTCGATTCCCGAATTTGCATGCGAGCCGCTCTGCGGATATCAGCGCTGCGCGCCAAACGCTCGGGGCTCGGGGAAACAATTAAATAATTACGCGAAAGCCCTGCGATTTTGGAGCTCGCGGATAATGGCAGCTTGGCTCCTTGCGAGTGCGGGGTGCGGCTTGTAAAGCCATAAAGTTGCGCCTCGTAAAAGCACGCACGGCGCCGCGGTGTATATGATTGATAATGAGTCGTGATGCAGCCTCGTAAACTCACGGGTGGTCCGTGGTACGCCCAGTCTCCGTAGGTAATTGATTTGTTGTTATATATATATATCCTCGTTATATTAATGCAGGTAGATTGTTGAATTTGCCTCTGAGTTAATAGTAGATTATTCTAATAATGGGCTTGCTATAAAGCGATCCGAGGAAAGCACTTGTCAAAATGCGAATTGAGAGTCATCCTCCGCAACGGCACAGACAAATCAGCGGAGACATAGAGCTCGAACGTTCACTTCGATGCAACAGATCTCGGGGTGGGGAGATCGAAAGATCGTCAGGTTGCCATCATGGGCGATAACGGACTGTCTATATATCCTACTTTCACGTGGCTCCTCCACTTGGCTCTCACGGTGATCGTATGACGCTCGTGCTCTCGGCTCTGGCCAAGAAGCCGGCCGTCCGACGATGCACTCGCGACCAAACACCACGTGATTGCTATGACGTCGCAGGCGACACGCTACCGACGGAGAACGAACGAGCCCCGCGACTACTTGAAGAAATGGCCAGTTTGTCGTCGTTTGATCGCCGAGCGACTGCTTGTCTTGACGAACTTGAGCGAACGCGGACTTGCTCATTCAATGGGCCGATGGGAAAAATGCAGGGAGCATTTATGCGCGATAATGTAGAGCCGCGAAAGAGCGTCACAAGGAGGAAAATATCCGGCAAGTGTCGTATCGAGAAAACAGCGCAACAGGTTTAGCGAACGCAAAAATTGGCGCAACACGAAGGCATCGCGCACGCATCGCTCTTCCTCGGGTCAAAAGCCTGCGCCTGCAATTACGGACGCGCGCGCGCGCCGATCATTTGTCCAGAAGGCTTTCTTTTGGAAGCTCATAGCCGCATACCGCGGCAGATATGAGCGCTCGAGTCAGAACGAGGAGCGGCCTTTCGTTTTTCTTTTTTACACGCGATTTGCCAAGGCACAAACAGGACGATAAATTTGACATGTGTTTGACGTGAGCACGCGGCTGATTTCTTGCCGGCCGCTCGCGTATGGACATGGAATGCCGCTTTCGCTAGGATGAGAAACTCGGGCTAATTGGTGATCGAAGCTTTGCTAATTTCTTCGCCTTCGCGTGGCTCATTGATTGAGTCTGCATTGCTCGGTGACGCGATAATGGCAGTTTCCGATCATTTGGCATTTGCTTTGCGCGTCGTGTTCACGTTGAGCATCGCAAGAAAGGAAAAAATGGAGCATCGCTGCTCGGAGTTGCAGTGCACGTCCGAGCAAGTTTAATCGTTTGTTTCTGTGCTTTCAAGGAAAATCCAGACGTTTGCTACGCTCGTGGCATTCTACGCGATCGGCAATAATTACTTCTCACTCTCGCGAGATAAAGCCACGCGCACGCTAAAGTATGAAGATTATAACGTCGCACGCGAGGAAGCACTCGAGACGTAGATTGAAAGTATAGTCGTTGAGGAGCGCAAGTGCAGCAATGATCGGGAGAGCCGGCGAAAAGGAAAGCAGGCGAAAGCAGCAAAAAGCAAGAGAGGAGCGCGACAACCGGCCAAACAACTCGTTCCACGGCCTAACTGCACACTCCGCAGTCCGATGTAAGAAAAGAGGCAGACTCGGAGCTCTCAGCAGCGGCTGAAGAGTTAAAGACCGGCAATCGCGCGCCCGTCAAAATGTTTATTTGCATTACACAGAATTAAGTTGTAATGCAATAATTCGCGGTTTTGCGCGCCGGCGCGGCCCATTTTCGCTGTCTAAGTAAGACCAAGGCCTTGGCAGCCCCTCATTACGAGGACAGCAACGGCAACGACTGCGGAGGAAGGAGGGAGAGAAAGGCCGTTATTAAAGCCGATTCTCACTTTTGCCAAACAAAGAAGCTCGCCAGCGAGATACGCCTTTCGCCCATTACAC